GTAATTCGACAAGGAAAAGTATAATTGCATAGTATTATGGATCAAAGCGAATAAATATAATACTATAAACGTACTAGCAATTGAGAAAGTAGTATAAATCTAAAAGAAAAGAAAATATATATATATATATAGATCGTATATTTTATTTTGTATTCATTTACTTTATAATATCGTAAAACCGTTTTTGCAAAGTGATAAAGAGTTCAACCGTTAGCTCGAATTTGTGTTGTGTCGTGATTAGTGTATTCATTTGTGATTCAAACTATTTTCATATTCACCGGTATAAAATAAATTTCTCAATAAAATTCGGTAAGAATGTAATAATTAATGGAAAATTTTTGAAAAAAAGGAAATCATAATTTAAAACAGTTGGTTCAATAATGGTACTGCTCTTGCAACCTGTTTAGAATATTTCAAAATCTTTATAGTATGTGGATTTATAGGATATCCCACGTAATTAGCGAAGCTTATAAGAATCGAGGTTAACACTTTTAAGGTAAATGTATCAATAACTGTCTGTTCAAGGATGCAATAAAAATATATTTTTAATATAAGACACGTAAAATGAAAAGTGTATTTATATTTACTTTACTTCCACCACATGTTCTTTTTTCTTTTGATATTAAATTTGAAATAAGTACAAATGTTTGTTAGATACTAATGTATCAATAGATAATCACTTATAGTTTATTAAAAATCATTTTAACAAAAGAAATATTGTTTCGCAAATCAAAATGGTAAAGAGATACATAATAATTCAATGAATAATTTAATTTCATTATTAACTAATTATTGGTCATTGCTTAATTTAATTGTCGATTTAGAATGTTTTTTTCTTTGCAATAAATTTATTCGTATTTCCATTTAATTTTTTTGTCCTTTGGCTATAATCGGTTGAGCTTTCTTTCTTTAAAATTTTCTCTCATTCTATTTCTTCTCTATTTCGATTTTCTTTCATTCCTTACCCAAAGTTAATTTTTCTTTCATATATTTAAATGACGTTCTTATCGTCTTTTTGAAGTTAGGATTAAATTGTACGTAATATTTGGTATCGAATAAATCGTCAAATTGGACAAAATTATTGTATTCTATATAACCACAAACCTCTTATTTAAAAAAAATGTATATACACGGATTTTATTTTATTAATATTTTTAAGATTGTACAAATAACCTCATATCTGGCTACTTTTAATCACTTTAAACAAAATTTTAAATAACCATTTTAATAAAATAATTGACGTCAATGACTTAACAATACAAAATATTTTTTTTATTTTATATGTATAACTGAATAGAATTAATATTTCCAGGAATGGTAATATATTGAAACGTTATTGGTAACATCAAATCTTACCAATTTAAAAAATTTATCGAAGCATACATTATGCTATGAAGTACCGTTTAAGTTAGATATCAAAATCTGAAAAGATCTTTATGGCTACAGAAATTCAACAGTTCTGCGTGCTATGTGATTTATCGAGACCTGGTGTTTACACACTCAATAGCGATGGACGTGTCATAAATCCTTGATATCGCACAAAAGCAGTTCGTGAACACGAAGGCCGTACTCCCTGGAGTCTTGTTCCTCTGTGACCTGCACTACCACTTTGCTAACCTCGCAGTTATCAAAATGGACAGAGAATGCTTGGAATTTTGAAAGGACTACTCCTGCCAAAGTTATCTATTGATTAGCTAGCCGTGACACAGTCTGCTTCTTAAAATTGTAAATAAAGCAATAGAGTGAGAAATTAATACAGATTCGCTGAAAATATAAAACGACTAATTATCGCTAAAATATAGAACAATTGTACTTCGCGATAGAACAAGTGTACTCCGGTACAGAGTAACTGTGTTTCGGTAAAGAACAAGTATATTTCAACAAGAAACGAACAAATATACATATAAGAATCGCAAATATCAAGAAGAATTGAAAAGTACAAGCTTAAATTAAACTCTAAAGCAATAACATTTAGATACAAATGATGAAAAACACCACAAGTAACTATTATTGATTAGAAAATTAAATCAAAATAAAATTAAATGATATCTGTGAAATATTGTTTAGTTATATGAACTCTTTCCTTTTTCCGTGATATCTTAAATATATCAAAATTAACCAGTTTTTCATTTTTAAAAAAATGCAATTATATAATATACTTGTTTTAAATGTGTACGCAGTAATATTAAAAATATGTAAAAGTTTTCGTATCAAAGATGTTTACTTCGATGGATAAATTTAATGAGATATTTCAATTTTCTTTCTGTATTTTCTATTTGTAGATATTTCAGTGCTGTCATCTTTTTTCAAATAAAATTTGTTTTTTTATACTAAATTCCGTAAAATGAAAATTAAAATATCTTTTAAACTAATAATTTTTAAATACAAGTACTCTAGTCCTTTTTTTTATAAACTACTTATTTACTTCTTTATTTTGTTATTTGTTTCTTTACCGTTACATTGGTGAACTCACCTATTCTATTTTAATAGAAAATCAAATATTTTACATTTATCCATTATATAGATAAATACAATAGAACGAAAATAAATTTTTCATGAAATTCGGAAACATTCAAAAGACAGTACTTCAAATAAAATGACCATACAAAATATTGTACATATTAACACTAATCGATTCACCTGAAAAATTCACAATTCCTACAATTTGCAGTAGAAACATATTGCAACTATGTGAATAAAATATATTAAAAATTAATAGAATATCGTTTATCAAATTATCGGTGAACAATGAAAATCGTTCACGAATCTTCATTTCCTTCAATACTTAAAGAATTGTTTAAAGAATAAATTATCTGATAATGAAGAAATAATCTTCTAATCTTGTAAGAGTAGCATTCAGGGAATTTTAAAATTCCACTACTGATATCTTCCATGAATCAGAAATAATAAAATTAATTAATCGTTTAAAAAAGTATATAAAATCACGTAAAAATTAGTTTAATTGAATATATAACATTTTAGAGAGACTACGAGTGATGATAATTTCATTTGAGAAAATTACATTTTGTATGCATTTACTTAAAAATGTATTTGACAGACTACACTAGAGAATGAATTTTAGTTTACAAGTGCAATTAAACTTTGCTACTGCGGACAAATATAGCACCGATATTAAAATAGAAAGTTTAAAATAATTAAATTTTACCTTATGGCATTTTCTTCTAAATCTATTCAATACTCTTACATAAGTCACTTCTCACGTCTACAAAGAGCATTAGAAAATATAATCGTCACGGCACGAATACCTTCCTTTCATAAGTTACAGATCTTGTCAATGGACGTAAAATAAGAACGAATTTATAAGGTACGAAATGAAAGTAACATGAAGTAACTAGTTATAGCTTATGTTAAGAAAAAATAAATGATAGATAAGTATCGTTCTCCTAACACTTTATCGAAAACCTATTTAGATAGATACTTTATTTATAACGTGGCTGTCAAGAATTTCCGGCCAATTTGCCTTTTTATTTCAGTGTAAATTATACAGTAATAAAATTCTCTTTACAGAAGGTTTGATAACTTTCTATTTTATAAATCAAGGTACATACTGCATTTGTACTATAGATCTTTATTATGAGAGCCTCGTTAGCACTACTATATATCAATAGTAAAACAATCAAATCAGTTGGAAGATTTTTTGCCACCATAGTTATCAAAAGCATGCAGGTGCTTTTGGTAGCGGTCAAATTAATGTTGACTTTTATTCAGGTAGACACATAGTTATATATACTTTCTTATTATCATTATATCACATTAATTATTATCATCCGTGTATATTACATTTAAGTACACATTATAAATTGATAGTTCTAGTGCTAAAAACAATATTAGTTAAATATTAAAATTACAGTACACCAAGAACTTTTGACAGTCACTGCACATGGTATAAAATTTAGCAAAAAATATGAATAAATGAACACTTTTATATGAATATAATGACTGATCTATTCACGTATATACGATATAAATACATGTTTGTTATTATAACAATACTACTGTATTAGACATAATTGTGTTATTACACAGTTACAGATCTAGATATAGTTACTCTATTATGCTATTGTACATTAGATATGAAATGTACATCACTACTATAATAATGTAGTATAATACTATACTACTACAATGGTTGCAGTTGTACTATTGTTCTGCACTGGATATACTATACCATCATACTAGGTATGATTACACTACTATGCTATGTTATGTACATTCCCGACCATAAATATGTAGATGCTGACAATAAAAACAATTGGTATACAATGTAAATTATTACTACAAAATGACGTTTGTCGGTACATTTTATTTTGGATGTGGATTCACCACCATTTATTAGCATTGAATTAAGTGATTTAATTATCTAGCCCTTCCAAATACTTGTAAGTAAATTTAAGTGTTATATTAAAATCCATTGTTAAGAATCACGTGGATAAAGGAGTTTGGAAAAAATATCCAAAATCTGAAAAGCATTTGTGAGAATTATTACAAACTCTATGGAAATATATTTGCATGAAAAAATTAATAGTTAGAACGTTGAGATTGATGAAAGAAATTTTAAGAACATGCGTCGTATATATCACGTCGATGCAAAGAGAATTTAATCGTTATTATTATTACTTGTGAGATATGGAATACATCATTAGTAGAATATTCTGTAATGCGATAGAAAGTAAATGCAAGAACATTAATGATGTTCATTAATCATTTCATAACTTTTTCTGGATAATTATTTCAATTAAGAGAGCGTCTACATACTGATATAGATGCTGATGTATGAAAAATAATTTATTTTGGTTGATATATTATGTATTTGATATATAACTTGTCCATAATTTTAACAAAGTAATTTCTCTTCGACGATGTTGTAAAGAATTCAGCAGAACCAAGATCGTTGTTAGATTTTCAGGAAATAATTTGAAGGTATTCTTGATTTTCGAGACAAGTTTATGTACATTTTGATACGGTGTGTTCTGTTGCAGGTATAGGAGTGGTTCTGGTAACTGTAAGCGCTGTAGCGTGGCGAGTGACCAGTCGAGAAAATTGCGGCAGTTTCTTTGGTTTCACGGGGATCTCGAGCAGGATCCCGCCAGCGAGGCCAATTCATCCATACGCTGCCATGATTTATCCGGAATTCCAATTTAGAACGCCACCTCCGAGTTATCAGGTGACATCCTAAAAATGTCTTCCACCACTCCCGCGTTTGATCGATTTCAAACAGCTGTTTCCTATCTCGTTTTTAAATTAGATTTATTCTATCCATTTGTGAAACGCTTTCAACTCCAATATTTACTAGCTCTATATATTTCTCGTTGTTTACGTGAATTCTACTATCATCTTCTCTTATTTATTTTCTCCTGTTTTTCCTTTTCTTTCTCTATTTCTTTTAGTGATGGATATTTATTTTAATAATTATGAAAGTAACTTACTCAGAAATCCCCAAAAGACAATTTTATCGCTTATTTTGTACTGCATTCTGTTATATATAAAACATCCTGTTAATTATAATAAAATAAAACTATTGTTGGTAAAATATCAAAAAATCGAAACGTTAGATCAAGTTTATAGCTTTGTCGTAATAATTAATTTTTCAATTTACGATACATTTAAAAGGTGAAACGTTTAATATTTCAAAATAAAATATATATGATTTAAGCCACTTTCATAATTAACAGCATATTTGATTAATATAGTTTTTTTCTTAACATAACACACTTTCATAACATAAAACACTTGATTTAACTTTTAAGTGAGGAAATTTCAGTAATTTCAACATTTGAATATCTGAATTTGAAGTTGTTCGAGTCTTCCCTAATTCGTTAGTACTTTACAGTTATACAGATTAGACTTGGATAAACTTCTCCAATGATAAAACATTTTTTGTTTTCAGATTAACTATAACATGTTATGGTTAATACGCAGAATTTTAATAAATTTGTTTTTTCTTTTTATTTTGAGAAAAATATATGGAGGAATAATTTTTATTAATCAGATTGTACTACTTTTATAAAATTTTGATATACGAGTGTTTATGACGTTTTATCACTATAATAGAAAAGTGCCAAAAATATTAGATAAAATTGAAAGTACTTAATACTTGATTGATTGTGTATACTGCAACAATGCGAAAAAATTTATGCCAACATACAAAATATATACAGAGACTATGCAGAGTGTTAGTAATGAATATTAACGAACACTTTTTAATATTTTAAATTATATGAGAAGTTCAATTCAAAAAGTTACAATCTGTTTTCAATCGTCCCTATATCGAAACTTTTCGATGCAAGAACTTGTTATTGCTACGTAACTCATGAATATAACTTTCTAAAATTATCACTAATGGATTGGGTGATCTGGAAAATAGAACAAACTTAATGATTTAATATATTCATTGTGAAACTAAATATATGTATTTCGTATCGAATTTTGTTCTAATGTTTGTAAATCAATAAAATGATCTTTCGGTTCATAAAAAAAAGTACAAACACTGGAAGAATTCCTAATTTGAATCACGTTATTTTACAGCTATATCGTATCAAATTCAAACAAATTGAAATGTTTCTTACCTCTTTTAGAGTTAATTTGAAGTTTAAGAAAACTTACTATCAGATTATATTTTCCATTTAATAATTAATAATTCGTATGTAAATTAATGTTCGAACCAGAAATTTGTTGTTCAAGCCACTTGCTACTGAATATTAACGTTTGCAGAAACAAATTTCATATTTGTTATGAACTTTATTTAATAATACGATGTAAAAAATTCGATTTATGTAAATAATTTTGTACATAGTACGTTCCATTTTCAAATATATATCTTTTTGAGAAATTGACCACATATTTTTACATTATATAGTTGATCACATATGTTTGACAACAACACCGATTTAATCCTTATAATTATTACGTGAACACGATGTAAATGTAAAATATTTTTGAATAATCTATTATCATAAAGACGATACGAAAAAGATATATTGTAATAAAGACAAAAAAATTAAAAGATACATTTACATTACTAAATTATTATCAACTACGTAAATGGATTAAAATTTACAACACACGTATATCCTTTTAGAACATGCATTGTAACCATAAAGTAAATTTGTCGTTCATATTTTTCAGTTGTTAAGATATTCGATATGTTTCCTATTAGGTGTTTACATTAACTGATAAGAAAGAAATCGAGTAGGTAGAATTATCCATCACGTTTCACTTTTCATTTTACCAACCCCAGGAGACGACGATACAGAAAATGAAAATAAGAGGATTTAAACGACATGTGATTTCAGGCGAGCATGCAAGAGTACAGGCTCCGACTACTCCTTCTGGATCGGCTGCAGCCAACATCGTCGCCTCCGCCGACCTACAGATCGAACGCTGGAAGCATTGTGACTCCCGGTACGACTAGAGAAAGCAGACCGCCGAGCTATTGCGCCAGATCGAACGTTGCATCGAACACGAATGTCACGCCATCGAAGAAGGACGCGAATCTGGTCAGGATCGTTCAGACCGAATCGGAACCGGTGATTTTGAGCGGCGATCAAACGCCTCCGGTAGCGGCCGTTGAAGTGCTCGCGCATCTTTGATTCATTTCCACCTTTTCCCTGTAATTACGGTTCTTATCGTTTTTACTTCCTTATGCCGCGAAAACACTGCTGCGACTGATCGAAGGAAAGCCGTTACACTCGACGATTTTGCGAAAAGATTCATGTCTCTTGTGCAATACAACTATTGGCTCGTTCCATAAGTAATGGTATTTTAAAGATGATCTTGCCCATATCAAACTATTATGGCAACATTCGTTGTCATTGTAATTTTCTTCATCGTTATTTAAACGAAGAGAAACGAAGAGTTTGTATCGGTTAGGCAGTTATTTCAAATATTGGATTGGGCGGAATGGAAAATTATTGTATTAGACGTCGTTATATTATATTTACGGAACTGATGCATTTAATCAGTAATATAATGTTCATTGTACTAAGAATAAGTGAAACGAATAAATAAGATATTTTATAATTTTTTCTTTGAATCATAGTATTCGAGTATGTTTGTACGTTAGTATGAAGATAAATCATTCCTTTTCTGTTAACGAGATAGCGACAATTTTTCGTCAGGTATTCGTGCCAAATTATTAACTTTACAATTAATTACCAAACAGTTTGAAAAACTTCATAATATGTTATTCTCTTTATATTCCTTCGAACTAAAACTAAAGTACATGTGATTTCTGATACAGTATTTTTCTTTTCTTTTTGCAATTAATTCAAATATTTTTCCTGATTTGTTTCGTTACTTTTTAAAGTGTTATTATAACAAAGAACTAATTTTTTTCGCATGTAACTATTTGCTTAAGAAATGACTTCGCTTTTTTTTCTAAACTGGCACAAAATTTAATCATTTAAGTTTCGTAACAGTCTGAAAACGGAGTATTTCGAGGATACATATTTGTGAAATAATGGTAAAATATGTACTTATTACAAATTTTATATAATGATAGTATGAATCATTTTTGGAATTATATTTGACACATTCAATTTACGCCATTTTCTGCATACATTTTACAAATATTTTTTACTCTTGCTATGATTACACTGCCTCTCCAAAACTCGTAGCTCGGTACATGCCAAACTGTGGATTCTATTAACAGACATTTCTAAGTGATTTTTGTGAAAAGAGAAAATAACTAAAGTGTTCAAAATACAATTACTACTGCAGCTGATAAAATATAAGTCAGGTTAGAAAACGAAATGAATTAGTAACTATTATGGATAGGACATTATAGTGGTATTTTATGAAAAAGTATAACCGCCTAATCCGATATTTTATAATACATTGACCAACTTTGTTATAATAAGAAACATAGTAGATGAATTAAGTCTTCCAATATTTTTTTTTTTTTTTTAATTATATTGTTGATCGTTATTCCATCATAATATTGTTTTGTAATTTACGAACGAAAATTATATTTTAAATGCTGACGCACAATACAGTTTTTAATGTGAAATATTTCGATTTTATACATAATTTGATTTAGTTTTATACAAATAAAATTAGAAAACTTTGTTATAGAAATTTTATCGCTAGTTTAATTCAATCTTAATACAGAGATGCACTAAAATATCATATCTATGACAAAATAAAGTACATTTGCTATTAAAAACATGTTAAAGATCATTTTAATGGCACGTGTAATTACGTTGTATATCTTAAGTCGACATAAATGATATACAACGCTGAAACTAAGTTTTTCTTTTTATGAGGGTGAAAATATGATTTGCAAATACTTGTGGTGTCTAATTTAAATTGAGAAAAAGGATATTTTGTTATGCGAGAATTTGAAGAAATATTCTATGTAAACGAAATTATAAATAGTTATCTATCTATACTAAAATAATAAACAACAAAACTTATGGAATGAACTTAATACATCATCTGTGTTCACTTTATCGTTGTTTACTGTTTATCGCATTTTGCTGTTATCAAATAAATAATTTCAATTACTTGAAGAGAAAGAAGAATACGATAAATTTCTATGAATAACGAGTGTTAAACGATGTCAAGTTGCCAATGATAAAGAAACAACCTCTTCCAAGGAAGAGATTCCCTTAAGTATGTAACGAAAGGGTGAAAGAAGCGCTTTTGCACCGCGCGGCTAATGTCGTGCCATTTGCAGTCGCTAGCAAATTAGCGCTGTCTGCGGTCAAGAGATTTAACCACCCCATAGAACATGGGGAAAATTAACGGACCTGTCGTTATAAACTTGACACGAGTACCGAAGTAATCGAGTATTTGTAAGATTTGCTTCTTTTCTGAGGTACTGCAAATTATTCTTTCGACCTCTTGGTTACTATCATTGCGTGACAATAGGAAAAAAGGAAGCAGCACCGATGAAAAGAAGCATAAATATAAGTGTTTAATTGTAAGGAAATATTTTTGCAATTGGTGATGAGGTTAGGTAACACCTGAAATTGAAGGATTTTAAAGTATGGTATTATTGAACGAATGTTTTGGAGGTTTTGAGCTGCGAAATCATATTACTCTGATACTCGCTATAACATGCTCGCCCAAAGCTCTGAAACGATATTGTTTTTTGTTCGTCTGAAATTATCAAAAATCGTAATCGTTTTAAAGATGTATTTATTCTGTATAAGGAAAGCCAATATCTCTTGGATTATTACTGTGTATATAACAATGTTAAAATTTACTATCCTATCGTATTTTCGATTTTAGATTTGTAAAATACTTGCGTAAATAGAGATTATGTATGTTATGAGAGGATGCGTGAGATAAAACGTGTTGATAATGTGTACCCTTAATGTGCCGGTAGGGACTTCTAAGGTCTTCCTCTTGTTGCAATTACTCATACCAGACGTTATGACAGAAGAGAAATCGAAGATGCGAAGAAGTTACAAATTACATATTGTGTAACAGGCTTGTGATGTACTTGGAAATACCGATTGAAAATATTATCTTTCATACTGTAAACTGTAACGTAGTATAGAATGGTTTCGAAGTAATTGCGAATTTTATTAAGGTTATTCGATAGTAGCATTAATAATGGCGAAACGTTGTTTCGGTTAATTTTATTTGTCCTTTTTCTATCGATTTGTCAGATTCCTTTGATATGTGTATTTTCCAAGTCATTTCGTATTAATTGTATTAATGTGAAACTTAAAGCTGCACATAATTTATCGAATTACCAAGAAATATGGTATATGAGTGACAAATAAAGAAAGCAGCTTTAAGGGTAACAATGCTGCCGCAAGCTTTAACGCCATACGGTAATATTTACTACTCGCTTTATTATTGCGATTTCTATCGAGGACGTAACGTTAAAAGTCGGAAAAGAAACAAGAATCTTGTGAGTTGCATACAACAATATATACATATTTTTCTAATTATAATTTGATGGTTGAAAACAAGTATTATGCGCGTTGAAATACTGTCGGTTTTTATATACAGTAATAAAATTCTTTTATTAACAATCCATAATGTTATAATTTTTTAATCTCTTTCTTTAAATAATGAACATTATCTCGACATTCATTTTAATCTCAATTTAAACACTGAGAGCTTCCTTAATATATCTTCCTCAAATAGAAGATCATACATTTTTCCAAACATGAGAGTATCTCGTAAAATGCATATTAGTTGGAATTGAAAATCTCTTATATAGGAAAATTATATCTTTATTTTCTATTTCATCGATATTAACGATAACTTTAACATACTTTTCATTGTATTTTATGTGATTAATTTTTATACGAATACTAGGAAAAGTATCGTACTTCAGTGTAAATTTAACATTAGGAATACTGTGCTTTGTAACGTTATAACGTTTGAGTTATTATATATCATGTGATTGTGAATTACTGTATACATAATACCGACAAAATAAATAGTAGATAGAGTTGTAAGAGTGGTAAATACAAAGGCTAGAATTTCGAAAGGCGGCCTTAACCAAACTCGCAATGATTCGTGATATGAGAATAGATCAACTAAAAGTCATCAATCGAATGAGTATATTGTTCCTTGATATTATTGTAGAACAATTTGTATATATACGAGAACAAATATATTTATCTGACTTATTTGATCTTCCTCGTGATTCTGCATTACCATATTTTTGCAATCGTGAAATTTTGTATTTGACAATTACAAAGAATGAAATGTTTGGCTGTCATGAATATGATGTTCAAAACTGAACGTTCGTTACTTATAACCCCTTACTAATAAATAATATAAACGACAATTTATTCTATATAGATTCGTTGCGTAATAAAGAGAATTTTCAAATTCTACGTATAACGATACTTATGCAAGTGTAACTAATATAGAAAATTTAGTAGTTTAAATTACCATAGTTCTGTTGTTTAGAAAATATACATACATGGTAAGGGGTTCTCTGAGTTTTGTGTATGTAATTAGAAAGAAATGTGTGTATATGTACGCATACATTGTAATGTACACACAGTTGAAAAAGTGCATTCAATCAATAAAGAGTCAGATGATTATTTGACAGAAGTATTGTTTGAAATAAAACTTATCTTAATTTATTCATATAAAAACATAAAATAGATATATATATCTATATTATATTACTGTATTGAAAAAAACATACAAAATTAAATATTATATTTAAAGAATATAAAAGTAAAGCATACTTAATACTAGAAAGCTGTTTTATTTAATTCAAATACCTAACAACAAATAAATAACTCTTTTCCACATAGAAGATATTCTATGAAGAAAGTAATAAACGATTTTGGATTATTTAGTGAGTAATGAGTTAAGTATTTTAAATCATATACACAATTGCACTACTTATATATGTATATTTTTTTTTTTGTTAACTTATAACAAAAATAAGATATTGCATACACATTCTTAAATAAACGAAAGATAAATTCTTTGTGTTTTTCATACCATCCCTTTTATTTTAATTTTTTCTTTTTAAGTTCTAGTTACATTTCATAGATATTGCACAAATCGATTATCATATAATAACGAACATAATCGTTACGGATGTAACTATTGTTTAATATCAAATAGCAATACTCAAAAATTCCCTCGATAGCTATACGTGTAGATTTAAATAATATAAACATCTTGCTATATCGTCCATGAAACATAATGTCCGTAGTAACAAAAAATCAAATACTTAGGAAAAATTATAAAAATAATATTATATTGTTATTGATAATATTGTGTCTTTTAAAAATATTTTTCTATTGATATTAGGAAGTTAACGAACGTATTGTATTTTTTA